GCTGGGATTTAAATCTGGATCTTCTGCAAGAACAACCAGTGTTCTTAACTGCTGAGCCATCTCTCCAGCTCCCTAAATTTTGTTTTTTAAAAAAATCCCTTGAAAATTTCATATATGTACTACATCATGAACATATTCACTCCCCACTCCTCACTCCAACTCTCCCACTCCCCTAAAACAAGTTGTGTATGTGATATGCATATGACTTAATCTCTAGATAGCCACATATATTTTTGTAGCCTGACTCCAAAATATTAAAACTATTCATTAATACTCTTTTTTTTTTCAGCTATAGCAACCCAATAACAGAAGTCTTGGCAAAGTGCTAATTGACTATAACATACCAGCACTTACCTACATGTGAAATGGGTTAATGGCTTATAACAATAAAAATTCCATTCCATTGTCCCAGCTTTTCCCAGTAGTTACACCCTAAACATTTATAAAATTTGAAAAATTTCCTCTGATGTGGTCATACATTTAGGTAACTTTCTAGCACAATAGGAAAAATCAATGTGTATAGTTCTAGTAAATACGCTAGGTCCTGGTGTTTTTTCATCTTACCTCTGAACATCATCTCAATTTTCTTCTTCAAGGATGAGTGGATGTGCCAAGTTTAGATTCGTTTCTTTAAGGGGAGAGACAGTACCTATCATCATAAGGAATAAAACGAACCATGAACCAGTATATACTTGGCTCATGTGGAGTGAAAACACAAGTTTTCCCTTCAGCAAGGAGATCATCTCAGACACCAGAGCCTCTATGAGGGCCAAAGAAACTTTCAGCGCATTGGTGTTATTGCACTCAGACATTCTTGTTCTGGTTATTTGCCATTTTGCTTACAAGTTGAATAATGTTTGATCTTGTATACTGTGCACCAAACTTCAAGAATATATTATATATATTTTTCTAGTACTGGGCATTGAAGCCAAGGGCTCTGCATGCTAGGAAAATACTCCACCAATGAGCTACAACTCTAGCTCCAAGCATAAAGTGCTTTTTAAAAAAAATTTGTTTTTATCAAACTTTGTTCTATTTCATACAGAATATCTCAAACAATCTGAATCATCTTTATAGAACCCTCCTGGAGCCCCCCGACTGGAACCCATACACTCTCTCCTGAGTAAGGCCCACTGTGTCAAGTCAGTGTCCCCAGATGTTCCCCAGTGCAAGTCCATTCACTTGCAGAGGGAAGGAGATATTTATTCTTGGTCAAGAATTGGAGGCATGGGCGGTCAGAAGTGGTTGTAGAGCATGCCTGTAATGCCAGCAGCTGATAGGTGGAAGGACAAGGTTCAAGGTCCTCTTGACTTCAGATGAGTTCAAGGCCAGCTTGGCTGGCCTACATGACATTCTGTCAAAAACAAACAACAACAACAACAACAATAATAATAATAATAATAATAAAACCCCAAACAAATGGGACTGGAGAGATGGTTCAGCGATTAAGAGCACTGGCTTTTCCTGCAGAGGACACAGGTTCGATTCCCAGCATCCACATGGTGGTTAACTACCATCCATAACTCCGGTTCCAGAGGGTTCAATGCCCCCTTCTGTTCTATGCTGGCATTACACAACATGGGTGTGCTAACATATGAGGCAGAACACGCATACACATAAAATATAAATAAAATTTTAAAAATCCCCCAAACCCAGAATGCCTGTAATCTCAATACTAAAGAGAGAAAAAAACCAAACCAAACCAAAACCCCCATGTATTCTCAGTACTAGGTGAGTGAGGTAGCAAGAGTGTTACATGTTTGAAGCCAGCCTGGTGTCATGAGTGTGCTATGTCAGAAACATAAACATATTTGTGTCTTTCTACGATGTCAGAATTTATTGAATAACAATAAATTCACAAGGCATGACGACTTCAAGAGCAGCAATTTACCAGATAGTCCCACTTTCCTTAATAACCCTGACCAACTTGAACACTGATTCTTTTATTCTGCATATCACACAGTAAGTGTATATGTATATGCATATATGTAGGCTAAAGAATGCCTGCAAATATAACTCATCCACTGAAAAGGCAACAGTTGAGGAGGTGAGGAGCTTCAAAGAAAACAAAACTTTTGGAGAAGCCAAAGCTGGGAAACTAATAAGGATGAAAGAGTCTCTGCATTGACAAACCTAACTCAGCTAGAGAGGCTACTGGCTATTGGCTGTAGATTCGGGCTGCAGGATAAGTGCTGAGCTGAAGAAGGGAGGTGAATCAAAGGGCAGGACTGGGTCCAGATGAATGAACAAACAGCAGACCCGCAAATGAAAAGACAGACAGGTCCAGATGGGTGAACAGGTGGACAGGCAGATGGCAATTCAAGCAAGTCAAATCAACAGGAAGGACTAACTTGGGCGGAAGACCCCTGGGATAGTTGGGAGTTCTCTGCCTGTTGGTCCTTGATACACATACTGGATGCTCAGATGACAGATTTGTGGGGACCATCTCCATCACAATGTTAGGTGTCCACTTCTTTGTGGGGTCCAGGTCAGGGAACTATCCACTTTCCTTGGCCTGGGGTGTCCAATAATAAGTTTTTGGATCCGATTTCCCTGATATTATTTTAATATGGCCATATGCCCTGGCAGTCTCAATTCACTCCAATTATTTGTAATGTGGCAACCATTCTACTCCTAGGAATAAGTAATTTATCAGTCTGTGCTGTGTGGGTAGTGCAGACTCATCCTCCATCCTCAAAATAGAATCAAAAGCTGCTTGTAAAGTAAAATCTCTCAGAGCAAGGCACAATCTGGAAAACTAATTTTATACAGTATGAAATAATTTAGAGCAGGGCACAGCCTGATCTCAGCACAAGATCTATGCGGAGAATTCAAGGTTAGCCAGAGCTACATAGTAAGACCCTGTCTCAAAAATAAATAAATAAATAAATAAATAGATAAGGAGGAAGAGGAGGAGGAGGAAGAGAGGAAAAATGGAAATAAACCTGCAAATCAACTTCTTAACCCTTTGGGGTTTAGTTTTAAAGTAAAAGAAATGAGAGCAAGGCATAGGCGAATAAAGGATGAATGGGGGACATTCCAGGAACTCGGTGCTATTTCTCTTCTCTCCTTTCATGATTCTCTCCAGTTACTGCATGGGCATTGCTAGTGCAGTCCCTCATCTCTCCAGGTCCTGGACTGTGGAGACTGTTTTTCCAGCTTGTCTTGAAAGTGTCCTGTACTGTTCCATATGGCTGACAGAGGCCAGAAACACCAGTCATTCCCTGTTGTCTCTGACAAAAAACTTAACTTCTTGTGTGGCCATCAAGGCCAGCTGTGGCTGATCTCTCTACCTCTGGCTGATGTCTTACCCCTCACATCTTCCCTGCCTTCCCACCTGGCCCAACTCTCCTCCCTTCGGCAAATGAGTCAAGGCTTGCCTTTATCCAGTTCTGTTGCTAACATTTCTGCCATTCAGAACACTAATTGGTCTTTTTGAGACAGGGGCTCCCAGTAGCCCCAGCTGACCTGGAACTCACTATGTAGACCCGGCTGGCCTCAAACTCACTGAGCTCCACCTGCCTCTGTCTCCCAAGTGCTGGAATTAAAGGTGTGTGCCACCACGCCCAGCAACACTAAAGCTCTTGAGGACATCCAGCATTGCCGTAGCACACGGCAAATGCTCTTTCACTTTTGTTTGTTGAATGAACAAGTAAAGGTAGGCAAATCCCTGGGTTCAATCCCCAGCACTACAAAAAAATAAAGAAAATGCTCTTTTCTGTTGTTGTTTTAATAGGGTCTTATGTAGCCCAGGCTTACCTTGAACTCACTTCTAGTGTGCCTGTCTCCACTTCTCAAGTGCTTGGATTACAAGCATGCACCACCATGCCTAATTTTATCTGTAAAACAGTATTTTAAATTTAAAAAATATTTTATTTATTTCATTTTTAACGTGTATGAGTGTATTACCTGTGTGTGTAAATGCACCTGTGTCATGCAATGCCCAGGGAGGTCAGAGCAAGGTATAGGATCCCCTGGAACTGGAGTTAGAGATGGTTGTTAGCTACCTTGTGGGTGCTGGGAATCGAACCTGGGTCCTCTGCAAGAGCAGTCAGTGTTCTTAACTGCCGTCTCTCCAGCCCCTTATTTTAAATTTTAATATTTTTCTTTATCTGGCCTCTGTGTGGGGGTATACATGCTACATTATACGTGGAGGTCAGAGGACAACTTGGGGGACTCATTTCTTCCCTGCCACCATGGGATCCTGGGGATTGAACTCAGGATATCAGGCTCTTTGTTGGCAAGCATCTTTACCTGCTGAGTCATCTCACAGGCCCTAAAACAGTACTTTAACTTCCAACCTTCATCTGCCAGGTTGACTAACCCAGCGCCCTGGCACCCAGTTCGTAAATGCAGCTTGTCTGGGTGAGGAGAGCTATGGGGTCCCCCACATGAATCCTTGGTAAGAGGCTTTCTGAGCCCCAGACTTGTGAATGTGTGTTCGTGGTAAGCATGGTTCCTCTTCTGTTGCCTGTGGGGTGGCAGTCTGGCTTGGCTGCTCAGCTAGTAGCAGTATGCTTCTCTGCTACAACTTTCAGCTAAGAGAGGCAACAATGTTTTGGGAGATGATCTGACTGACTGGCCAAAGCAGCACTGCCATCCTCTGAGGTGCAGATGGATACCTTCCAAGTGCAGCCTCGAGATGGAGCTCTGAGCAACTGACACTCCTACTGCATCACTGGCAGTGGGTCTGCAGTGCACCTGTGCTGTCCTCGGGAAGCCTTTCAAGGATGGCCAGGGAATCGTCTGTGTATTAAACTGACATTTAGCCTGGAGGATAACTCTCTATTGAAGCACTTATGCATGTTCAGGAGGGAAAGTTTGGAGAGTAGTGGCCAAAGTTTAATGGCCACTAGAGGTTTTAGAACCCCGGGAAGACCAATTGGCAGCTAATGCCAGTTCTTTAATTTTTTTTTTATTAATTTGAGACAGGGTCTCCCTGTAGCCCCAGCTGGCTTGGAAATTGCTATGTAGACCACACTGGCGTCCATTATTGTGTGTGTGTGTGTGTGTGTGTGTGTGTGTGTGTTGTGCATGTTCAAGTGTAAGTTTGAGTGCAGAGGCCAACAGAATCCAGAAGAGGGTATCAGAGCCCCTGGATCTGGAGTTATAGGTGGTTGTGAGCCTGACATGCGTGGTGGAAACTGAACTCGGGTCCTCTGAAAGAACAGCATGAGCTCTTTCTTAACCATTGAGCCATCCCTCCAGTTCTTATGCCAGTTCTTAGTGAAAACTAAATTGGCTGCCACAAATTTAAACAAGCATAGTCAAGGCAAATAGTCATTCACTGGCTGATTCAAATGCATTTTTTTTTTTTTTTTTTTTTGGAAGCATGGTTCCAAGTCTTCCCTGTGTTACCTTCATTGCTGCCCATGGAGTCCAGCAGCCACCTGGTATCCACAAAACCCAACAGAGACCCTCTAGGCCAGCCAACTGAGCCCAGCTGCAGGCACAGGGTGATCGGTGAGGAACTATCTTCATCCGGTCCTTAACCTCTGAGAAGCCAGGTCCGATGTATAAGGTAACATTTAGAGAACTTTGGGTTCAATCTTGAAAGCCTTCAAGTTGGACAGAACTCAGGCGGTTTCAGGTTACCGTGGTGACCAAACAGCTTCTCTGGTCCTAGTTATTTCCTGGCGGAGCCTGGCTCCAGCTGCACGCAATGGAGGCTGTCAAGTCCTCCCCCTTCTGGAGCAGCGCTGCGCGGAGCAGGCGCGCGTGGGGAGCCCGGCGGGCGCCAGCTGGAAGCCGGGCGGGCACGCGGCGGGACGCGCGGGGAGCGCGGCGCCGAGTGCCGGCGGCGGTGGAGTCGCAGGGCGCGGGGCCGGAGGCATGGCCTGGCCGTGCATCAGCCGCCTGTGCTGCCTGGCGCGGCGCTGGAACCAGCTGGACCGCTCGGACGTGGCGGTGCCGCTGACCCTGCACAGCTACTCGCACCTGGAGAGCGAGGAGCCGGATCCCGGCGGCGATGCCTGGCGCGGAAGCCCGACCCCCGCAGGCAGCCGGGACCTGGACCCGCCTGTGCGGCTCACTCAGTACCAGAGCGACTTTGGTCTGCCGACGGCGCCCGCAGGGACCCGACCGGCCGCGCGAGGGCCCGGGCCCGACGGCCGCAGCGGCAGATCTTCCGCGCCCGGGGTCTACCTGCTGTCCATCGGGGACACGGAAACAACTGGAGTCGCGACTACGTCCTACAGGTACCTGGCTGGGGCAGGAGGACGTTTCCCAACCAGCGGTGAGAAGAAACTGAGTCTCAAAGTCGGGGTGGGGGTGGGGGGCTGGAGCCTGGCTTCCGCACGACGTGGAGAATAGCAGGCGGCCTAGAGGTCACTTCCTAATTCTCCTGACCCTGCAGGAGCCTGCCTTCCGTGCTGCTCCCTACCTGGTGTCCAGGTTGAATGCACACCTCATAGCAGAGCCTTCTGTTTCTGTCTTCCTTCCAGTCCGCCTCCCTCCCAGCCTGCCTTCCACTGAGCATACTACTCAGCCTCAACTTCCGTAGGGTGGGCACAGGCCAACTCCCAGTCCCCAGGGCCAGTACTCCTCTGGGGACGTCAAGACCCACAGCACGGTGGTCCTTGATGTTCTTAGCAGCTCTGCTCCTGAACGAGTGAGGGCTTCCTGTCTCCTACTTTTTATGTATATGTTTTGCCTGCATGTATGTTAAGTGTGCCCATTCGTGTAATGCCTAGGGAAGGACAGAAGAAGTCTGGATCCCCTGGAATTGGAATTACCGAAGGTTGTTAGCCACTATGTGGGTAATGGGAACAGAACCTGGATCCTTTGCAAGAGCAGTCAGTGCTAGAAACTCTGTGAGATTGAGGACATCCTGGTTTACAGAGCAAGTTCCAGGCCAGCTGGGGCTACAGAGAGACCCTGTCTCTTTTTCTTTTTCTTTTTGAGACAGGGTCTCCCAGTAGCTCCAGCTGGCCTGGAACTATGTAGACCAGGCTGGCCTCGCACTCACAGAGATCAGCCTGTCTCTGCCTCCCAAGTGCTAGGATTAAAGGTGTGCACCACCATGCTGGCCCAACCCTATCTTAAACAAAAACAAAACAAACAAAAAAAGAGGCAGCCAATCTCTCCAGTCTTCCCTTCCCCTGGTCTTTTCTTTTGAGACAGGGTCTCCCTGTAGCCCCAGCTGCTCTGGTCCTCCTTACGGACACCAGGGTGGCCTGGATCTCAGAGATCTCTGCCTGCTTCTGCCTTGAGCACTGGGATTAAAGGTGCACACCAACACACATGGCTTCTGATTTTTAATGTACAGACCAGCACATATGAACTCATATTCCTCCAGGATGCCAGTCTTACAGTTGCATTATTATTTTAAAATCTTCTAATTTATTATTAGTGACAGAGAGTGAGAGCAAGAGCGAGAGTGAGAGTGAGAGCGAGGAACCAGAAGTGCCATAGGACAACTTGTGAGCTAGTACTCTCCCTCTGTGGGTTCTGGGGATCAAACTCCGGATGTCAGGTTTATGCCCTGCTTTCACTCTCTGAGGTATGTCATCAGCCCATGTTTTTTTCGCCTGTTGTGGATGTTTGACCATGTTACTAAATGTTATGATTTTTAATAAATGTGCTCCATGTTAGCTTTTTGGGTATACATCTATATATCCCAATATTATTTGTCTCCCTAATTTGGGACCCCTAATTTGGTTATTGCAAGTATTTAAATGTTTAGGAATTTTGCCTCTAGATTCGTTGAAAGTGGGATGGGAGCTCAGAAGTAAAAGGGAACAAAGAGGTAGCTCAGTGGTTAAGAGTGTACTGCTCTGGGCTGGAGAGATGGCTCAGTGGTTAAGAACACTGAGTGTTCTTGCAGAAGACCTGAGTTTGAATCCCAGCACCCACATAGCAGCTAACAACTGTCCATAACTCCAGTCCCAGGGGATCCAACAGCCTCTTCTGACCCCCTTGGGCACTGCATGACATGGGTGCACTTACCTACATGCAGGCAATACACGCATACACATAAAAATATTTTTTAAAAAAAGTGTACTGCTCTTTCAGAGGTCTGGTTCCTAGCACCCATGTAGGCAGCTCACAACTGCTTTTAACTCTAGCTCCATGGTATCCAATACCTCTGGCCTCTGCATACACCTGACAGGCCCTGGCCCAGCTCTTCCTGGTACCTAAGACTCCCAAGTGTTGACCACAGCAAACACCAGCTTTCTTACACATGCCACTTGCCCAACAAGGTTCAGCTGTGGCACTGCTGAGAAACAAAGGCTCCTTTGTTGACTCCAGGGCCTGACCTGGGGGGAGCAGCCTAGTATTGGCCAGCACTGGCCCTGGCCAGCTGGCTCTGTCTCCATGGAGCATTAACAAGGGCGCCTATGGTCATGGAGAACTGCCTTCCTTAGCTCACCATCTAGTAGTGACAAGACTAAGAGGTCTGGTTGGCTTCAACTAAGAGGAAGTGAGCCTTTTTCTGTGAGCAGCATAGGTCTAGGCTGGGCCAACCTGTCCTTTCCCTCCAGGGAACTGGCTCATGGGAACTAACTCACAGGCTGCAGAGCAGCCTGGAGTGTTGTTTTTTAGATGGCTACTATAATCACTCATTAAAAAAAAATTTATTATTTTTATTTGTTATGAGTGTATTGCCTGCATGTAGGTAAGTGCACCCACGTCGTGCAATGCCCACGGAGGACAGAAGGGCTGTTGGATCCCCTGGAACTGGACTTACAGTTGTTAGCTGCCATGTGGGTGCTGGGATTCGAACCTGGGTCTTCTGCAAGAACAACCAATGTTCTTAACTGCTGAGCCATTTCTCCAGCCCCATAATCACTCTTTTCAAACAATTTTATTTTTATTTTATCAGTGCTGTGCCTGCCTATATATAAGTGCACCCGTGTCATGCAATGCTTACAGAGGCCAGAGGGCACTGGATGCTTTGGAACTAGAATTTATGGATGGTTGTTAGCTGCCATTTGGGTGCTGGGATCTGAACCCTGGTCCTCTGCAAGAGCACTTAAGTGTTCTTAATGGCCGAGCCACCTCTCCAGTCCCTTAAACATATTTTTAAAGGTTTTTTTTCCCAGTTATGTGTATTTGCATGTGCGAGTATGTGCACCTGAGTGCAGGTGCCTGTGGAGGCCAGAAGAGGGCACTGGATCTCCTGGAGCTGGCATTACAGGCTGCTTGATGTGGGTGCTGGGAACTAAACTTCATTTCTTTTAACTGTTAAGCCAACTCTCCAGCCTCTTAATTCACTCTTTCAAAAATTCTTTTTTTTTTATTGTGGATGTCTGTGCATGCACATCCATGAGCACACCACAGCAGGTATGGAGAAAAGATAACTTGTGAGAGTTAGTTCTCTCCTAACATATGAGTCTTCAGGATTGAACTCAAGTTATGAGGCACAGCTGAGCCTTCTTTTTCTCTCCAATATAAGCAGGTGTTGAGTACCTTTGCTGTGCTGGGCACTGCCTAGGTTGGCATTTCTCCTGGACCTAGGTGGGCACCACGGAGGTGATAGCCTTCACTGGTCCTGGGCCTCCAGGGCTCCTCGTAAGTGGTCTGGCTTCCAAAAGAGCAGATGTGGGTCTTAGGAGGGTTGAGCACTGCATTTGTCTCTTCTAAGGAGACACATACTAGCTGCTGCCTGATGTTCACAGCATGCTGGAAATTTTTTGTCACTACTTTTAGGGGCCAGGTAGAGAACTCAGTGGTAAAGGGCAGGATGGCTACTGAGCTGCCTTCCTGAGCTGGGTCCATCTGCCAGGGGCACCTGGTGTTTACAGTCCTGCTTATGCAAAGGAGATAAAGGATCATCAAGAGCTAAAACAGGATCTGCGGGGGACTGAGCTTGGCCTTTCAAGAATCCCGGGCCCAGGGATGACTGATCCTCTGCAAGATTGTGATTGCATTCTGTTGCAGACAGGAATTCCAAGCTTGGACTGGAGTGAAGCCCTCAAGATCCACAAAGGCAAAATCAGCCAGAGTCATCAAAACCCACAGCTCTGGATGGGACAGCAGCCCTAGGGCCAGCTTCCAGGTCAGCCTGAGGGTGGTGCTGCAGGGGCTGGGAACACAGAGGCCTTTCCTCCAGTGTAGGGATTACAAGTTAGATTGTGGTGATATGAAATGGCATTATGGTTAGGGACAGCAGTGCCCAACCAATAATCCATAACAAGAGAAAATCAAGCTACTTCTTTGCCATTGGCTGGTTGAGCAGTTCTCTAGTGCTGTCCTCCCAGGGGGAGCAGTCTGCCTGCCTCCTAAACTCTGGCTTGCCCCTTGACCACTACTAGGCCTAGGGGCTTCCAAGGGTGAGAACATAGCTCAGTGGTAGAGCACAAGCCCAGCATGTACAAATCCCCCAGTTCCATCCTCAGCACAGTCCCCCCCATCAAAAAAAAAAAGGGACAGGATGGCTCTGTGGCACACGTGTGAGGCTCTGGGTTCCACCCCAGCATTGCAAACAAAAAAATCAAAACACATTTGTGTAAAAGGGGGGAGAAGCTAGAAGGGAGTTGGGGTGAATAAGCTTCTTGATCTCAACTTAAAGGCAGAAGGGAGGAGAACAGTTCCATGGCATGCTCATGTCCCCTCTGCAGCCCACTAGAGCAACACTGCTCACTTTGGTAAGCTTCCCCCACTGCCTTTCAGGTCAGCTCCTGCAGGGTGCAAGGAATTCTTTTCTCAGAGGCAGGGTTGGAAGATGAGGAAAAAGCCCACTAATATGGCCATGCTTCCCTTTTCAGGTTCCAGAAGTGAGGAAGAAGTTTGTGCCTAATCCCTCAGCCATCTTTCAGACTTCAGCTCCCCGGACTCTCAATGTGTGATCCTCGGGTGTGTGGGCAGCAGAAATTTTGCCAGCTAGGGAAGCTGAGGAGCATGCTCAGGACCTACCAGCCTGGCTTGGTCCTTTGCTGACAAAAGCACAACTGCTGGCCTTGGGTGTGGCGTGGAGCAGAGGCAGAGGGATAGGACACCACCAGTGCCACTCAGGCTCTTTCAACCTCCTCTAGCAGTGGGTAGAGGCTTCCTTATATCTTTTTAATTGCCGTTTGATTGTCCTTCAGTTTTAAAGTCTGAGAAACCTGAGGATCAATTCAGTTGTGAACTGAACTGGTCTGTGAGGAATATGGATATATCAAGCCCCTGGTAGACTTGTGATGTCCACTTTGGGAGATTTTAATATTACTTGATAACTTTGATAATCTCAGGCAGTATCCTCAGATCTCTCCATAGTTACCCACATGCTTAAGAAATCTTAGGTTATCATCTGTACAGGACTCATGTTGCTGCGTACTGATGAAGTCTCAGACGATCAATCACAGGGTTTTAATTTTAAACATGTAATTTCTTCACAGCCAAGAGGATCTTCATGTTCCAACAAAACATTTCCTAGGATGAGTGAATGCATGGGTGACGCTTACTCATGGACGTTTCCAAAGGCCGAACCCTGTATTTTATATGGAGTCCCTTCCTCCCAATAAAAGGAGGCCTGGAAGGGAACTAGTATGCATACCCACTAGGAATTGGGAACACTTTTGGAAAGCATTACCTAGACTAGCCATTCCCCTCAAACCCACTGGCTCACTCTTAACAGTGGCTGGGAGCTCACTACATGCCGTGCAGGCAATTCATTTTGTCTTTGGAAAGCTCTTTTGTTTCCGTAAATTCTAGCCAGTGTGGCTGTGTTGGAACAAGCTGCTGGTTCCCCTTTGCACAGCAAACCTTGAAACAGCAAGAACCTATGCCCAAGAGGCTTAGCAGTTGTTGGTAAGGAACTGGATTTCCCTATGGCACTCTTCAGGTCACAGGTGGTTCTAGTCTACAGAATAGGCGGGCCACACCTTCCTCATGCCAGCCCCAAAAAATGCTCTGATGGGGAAAGTTGAAGTAACCAAAGGTCCTGTTACTTCAGGTTCATCAGTCTACATGCTCAATGTTTCTAAGAGGGAGGAAGAAGACTGCCTGCTGAGCACCTCAATGTAGGTGGTGAGAGGATTAATTACAATTTACCAAACAAGAGTGTATTCTTTTTCATTCATCTGGTCTCTCAATAATAAGGACTTTACTGTGGCTCTGCTAGAATCCTTGAAAGCCTGTCAACCCTGAGCCCTTCTTGATGAGGGCTGCAGATAACTCCATTGTAGATGGGCACTTCTCCCCATTTCAGCCCTCCTACATCCTCATGCTAAAGCTGTGGGAAGCTGGGCCGCTAGACCCAACCTGCTCCCTCACTAGCTCTGCACAATGGGAACTTCTGTTTCTACATCTGAAAGGGAGGCTGTTAGAATTCAATGCTTAGCACAGTAAAATGAAGCATGCTCAGCCCTAGAACTGTCCTAAGCGCCTTTCCCCTAGGCACTGCTCAGTTCCCACTGTGGCCACTAACATGCCTCACCCAATTCCTCCTGCTGTCCAGTGATCATATACCACATAACTGAGCTTCCCTCCCCCTCCCTGACCTGTGTTTGGTCTCTTAGCTCCATTGCATCTGGCTAGCATAAAGCATTCCTGCCCCTTCCTGCTTCCTGGCAACATAGCACTGCAGTGGCTGTGGAGTGGGGCCTCCATGCTTGAGAGACTGAACTTGTAATGTATTATATGGCTCTGAATAGATGCTAACTCCATAGACCTCCCCACCAGACTGCATCAAAGACTAGACATGGCTCCTAAAAAGTCCCTCCCTCTCATTCCTGATCTGAGTAAGGTCACATAACTCAATGAGTGACCCAAGAAACAACCAAGACCAGTCACAGTTATGTGTACCCAGCTGTGTCGTCACTTTCCTATTACCTTCCCTTTTTTCCCTGTCTCCTCCAATTGTATATGAGACAGAGAGAGAGAGAGAGAGAGAGAGAGAGAGAGAGAGGGAGAGAGGGGGAGGGAGGAGAAATGGACTGGAAGACTAGCAGGGTTTCTGAGAAGGGAGTGCCTGTGCGTGTTCCTGTACGTGCAGGTTCATGTGTGGAGGGCAGGGAACAACCTCAAGTGTTCCTCAGGCACCATTCACCTTTCTCTTGAGAGTCTCTCACTGGCCTGGAGTGCAGAGAAGTAGGAGAGGCTGTCTGGTCGGTGAGCTCAGGGATCCGCCTCTCTGCCTCTCCAGTACATGTATTAAAAGTGTGTACCGCGATGGCCACCTTTTCTATGTGGGTTCTGGTGAGTGAACTCGGGTACCTCACCCAGGCCTAATTATTTTATACTTTATCATATTTGCTAAAAATTTCTTTAAAATTTAAGCATTTTTGTACTCGATTAAGTTTTTAAAAATAAAAGTTTAATCTGTTAATTTTTGTCAAGAGTGTTTAACATTTTAGCCTATCACCAAAATGGTCAAACTGTAGGAATTGCCTTGATCGGCTGTAGGGTATATTCTAAGGCCTATGAAACAGAATTCTCCAAGATCCTTTCACAAGTTGAAGAGACTCGGAGTCATCTCTCAAGATCTTACCTCTCTGTGCTCCATGGGACAGAACTGCTGGACTTTAGGCCAAACTTCCAACAGCAGCTTTTAGGAAAAGCTAGGCTCTGCTGGATGTAGTATTCTACCCATCTGAGGCCTATGGCACTTCCCAAGCTGTTGGCCCCCTCACACAGGGACCTTCACAGTGGATCATGGTCTGCAGTTCTGAACTATGCCCTGGCTATTCTTACTCCTCAGGGCTAGCTTTCTCTATTCTGACCCTATGTGAAGGCTGTTTCCCAGCAAGCTGCCTCCTTGCAGAAATTATCTACGCATTTTTGTAGTTTTAAAAAAAAAAAAGGCTGCAAGCAGATGATCACATCATGAGGACTGTGTCACAGAAGTAACTTTCAGACCTTGGTGCCAGATAAATTAGTATGTTAGACAAAAGTTTACTCTTTTTTTTTTTTTTTTTTTGTTTTTTTGGGAACGGGTCCCCCTGACGCCCCACTATCCTGGAACTCACTATGAAGCCCAGCCTGCCTTTAAACTTAGAGACCCCCCTGCCTCTGCCTCCTGAGTGCTGGGATTAAAGGCTTGTGCAACCACACCTGGTAAGTTTACTCTTCTTTAAGAAACTGAACCCATTTATGTATTTTTCTTTGCCTTAAATTGCTTGTCTCAATTAAGTATGTCCATGGCTACCATGTGTCTTCTATCTTTTTGTGTGACTTATGTAACTGTAATTCTTTTTTTGCATGGTTGCAAATTCTTTTTGGAAAGGAGAATTAATTCAAAAAAGCCTATACCTTTGCCCAGTCCCAATGCAGCTATCTAAGTACAGTGTTTCTAACTCAGAAAACCCATCACAAATTACTAAAAGGTTTATTGCGGAGATTATGTTACACATTATTATAGAAATACATTTGAAATAGCAACACACATGGAGACTGTTAAATCATTTCATAGTTCTTTAGCAAAAAGTAATTTCCTTAAGCTTTCATGCCATAATAAATGAATCTGCTCTCATTTGTATATTCTACCACGAGTTTCAGTCCACTAGATGAACAAATCTGTGTGCCTGCCTATCAATCTGCTGTGTGGGTTATATAAAGAATATGTAAGCCTTACATACCCAATTAAGTATTAAGCCAGGCTTGCCCTATACCTGCTGAATTGACTCTTTCTGTACTTGCAACTCTCAGATGTTGAATTAAAAAGGCAGGTTCTGTCAAGCTGTCTTCCCACTTTATTTTCCTGACACCAACACCTACCTATGGGGTATGGACTATGGTGCTTAGGTAGACTGACTGCTTTGACTTTGTTACAAATTTTTTTTGAGCAGAGTAAGAAAAAGCAAGTCTATAACTGAGACTAAGTTTTTCTTTTGCCCCCACAATACTTGGGAGGACTGGAGAATCCTGTGTCTACACTCTGTAGTAGTGCTACCACCCCATCTGATCCCACTTGCTGAGGGGCTCTGCTTCTGGGCAGGAGCTCTTCCCTCTGCTGCTGAGCACTGGCACCGCAGCTCTGGGCTGGCTTCAGCAGTTCTCTCTCCAATAGTAAGGCACTCACAGGTGTTTTCAACCCTTTTCATCTTGGTAAAACTCTTTGGCAGAGGAGAACAGGATCCCAGATCTGCTGAGAGAACAATCCCAGCAGAGTATGTCCCAGGCTGCTGCTCCCCTGGCCACTGATAGCAGATGCTCCTGTAGCCACATGAATAGCCACATGAATGTGGGGGACCAGCACTCAGCTTATCACACACTCACTGAGCTGGCACAATGCTACCAAGGGCAGACTTTGTGGATGCTGTCCACACTAACAGTCGTAGTGCTTCCTGGGTCATAGTGACCTAGGCTTGATGCCTTCTGACCTCTGCTGGGACATGTCCATCCCTCAACACTGCTTTGACACTAGCTGTCACAGAAGCACTGGCTCCTGGGTTTCATGAAAAAAGAATTCTGCTCAGTCTGCAGCCTTCTAGGTCTCCGGTTCTCCACATGGTGCATTACCTCCTCTGTAGCTGACTCACATGGGCCAAAAGTGCAGTTTTTCTATACTGAGACAGGCGGGAGAAGATAATTACTCCCTCAGTGAGAAGCCTGAGCCATCTTTGGGTAACCCCAGACCACAGAGGAGGTATAACCCCTAGCCTGTCAGGCTTTTTCTGTTTTCCGGGAAGCCAGGCCCCAAGTGCCCCCAAGTACATCCTAAGGAGGGAGGGAACGCTATGTATGACCCTGGTCTGGCTCTAAGACCCCTCCAGAGCCTTTAGAGAGTGAAGAAATGAAAGCTGACAAAATTGATTCATTCAGCTTCCCTTCAGAGTCCGGAAATAACTTTGTCCTAAAAGGTTTCATCTGAACTGAGTGCTCTAATACTGTACTCAGTTAGGTGGAGGTGATGGTTGGGTATCTACCATATCCCAAGGCACACAGAAAACTGCCACTTTCCTGGAACACATAAGTCACCACAGCTTTTGGGCTTCAGATACAGCTTCAAACACTGCTTTTCTAGGACCATCTCCATCACTGCATTCATTGATCCTCATTCATTCTCCCCATGTGTTTGTTTGTGAGGAAGTCCAGAAAAGGAATGCTGCAAATGGCCTGGTGAATGTTACTCACTGTGACTTCTTTGGGAACCCTAGTCAAAAACAAACAAAACAAAAAATACAAAACAAAATGAAAAGAATAATCAGGTGCTATTCTGTCAAATGAATTTAATAATAATTCAGTCAATTGTTTACTAAAGGGACCATCTAGTTATGGACAGAGATGATGGCTTGGCGCCATCCTGGGTATAGGGTACCAGGTGCATTCTCTGTCCCCTTTTTCAAGCTTTTTTTTTGGTGTTTTTTGAGACAGGGTCTCCCCGTAGTCCCAGCTGGCCTGGAACTCACAGAGATCCCCCCTGCCTCTGCCTCCCAAGTGTTAGGATTAATGGCATGCACCACCACACCTGGTATTTCAAGAATTCTTTTCCATTCTCTGAAAGATCTAAAGCCAATTAATAGTCCTATCCAGGGTTCAAATTTCCCTTCCCAGGAACAGGAATGAGAAGGATTTAAAGTTGGTTGAATGATTAGGAAAAACAACTCTAGCTGACAGAGAGGCAGTGGGCAAAAGAAGAAAAGAATCTGCTTCTAAGTCAGCAGACTGAAGGCCGCTTCAGCACACTGGGAAAACCTGGACCTTATTTCCCATATCAGAGAATGTGAGCTAGAGTCCTGGTCAGCCAAGTGTGAGGTTACATGCTCCCATTCAAACCACCCAGGCCACCACATCTTGAGAGTCAGGAACTTTGGGGTGCAGTAGGCATGGAAGGCATTGCTTAGTCCTGGGATTCAAGAAGGGAAAGAAGCCTGGAATTCTTTTTTTCTCATGACCTCTCTGTTGTCTATGTACGCCTGTCCTAATATCTTCTGTTTTGAGTCTCCTCATAATCTTAGGTACATCATTACAATATTAAGACTTGTGACAGCCTTTAGCATAACAGGAGAATAATACTTCTTTAAGAAAGAAAGCATAGCTGGGCGTGGTGGCGTATGCCTTTAGTCCCAGCACTCAGGGGGCAGAGGCAGGCAGATCTCTGCGAGTTCGAGGCCAGCCTGGTCTACATAGTGAGTTCCAGGCCAGCTGGGGCTACTGGGAGACCCTATTTCAAAAAGACGAAAAAAAGAAAAAAAAAAAAAAAAAAAAAAAAAAAAAAAAAAGGAAAGCAGCATGTTGACTACCATCTTTTCTGACTGGGAACTCTGTATCCTAGTCAGAGATAACTGGGAATCAGTAAAGAAGTGGCAGTGAGCCTGAGGGCTCCCGGCTGGTAAGATCTGAGTCTGGATCCCAGGCCTATCATCTGGGAAAGCAGAGATTACATTTCAAAGCCTAGTTTCCAATTTCTAAAAAAAAGAACAGTATATGTGCAATGAAAATCAAATCAGGTAATGTACTGGAGCCCAACCCTAGGACCTGCTGTACCATTACTGTCTTTAATTCAAGAAGCTCCTGCCTGTCCCATCCTGTAATACAAGAGTCCTGGGTGTCTATGAAGTAATGAATGGGAGGGCACAGATGAGCTTTCATACTAAGGGGCAAACAGAGAAGACCTCCAAGTCCCTCTGGCTCTAAGAATATCCCAAGCATAGCCAATTCCATCTTCTATGACACTGAATTATGTGTAAAATGTCTTCAAGAGTAACTAAATTGCTAGGCCTCATGCTATCAGCCAAGACAATAGTACCTGTTATGAGATGCTGTCTGGTAACCAACTGCCAGCGCCTGTCTCAGGATGTCACTCACCAGCTGCTCCGTGGCCTACAATGGAAGACCATGTTATTCTTAAAATAGCCACCTGCTTGCTAGTGAGAGAGATGCAGCTGACCTCATCCCTTACCCAAACTTTTGAAACAACTGCCAAAGGATCAAAACTGGAATGTTTTAATCCTGTTTATCATTAACCAGATGCTGGTTTCTTCCTTTCCCCTTTCCCTTTTCCCCCCTTTCCTTTCCTTCTTTCCTCTTCTCACCTCTCCTCTTCTTTCCTTTCCTCCTTCCCTCCCTCCCTCCCTCCCTCCCCTCGCTATAAAGTCAAGTGGCCTCTGACCAGTGGTCCTTCTGCCTTTGCCTCCTAATCCCTCCCTCCCTCCCTCCCTCCCTCCCTCTCTCTCTCAGACAGGGTCTCCCAGGAACTTGCTATGTAGACCAGGCTGGCCTCAATCTCATGGAGATCTGCCTGCCTCTGTCTTCATAGTACAGACCTGTGCCACCCACATCCAGCCTCAAGATACTGTTTTTCAGGAAAAGAGGAGTGAACAAGGCTAATACTGAAGCAACTCTTCTGGAGCAACTGCACTATGGAAAACACTAAGCTATGGACTGGGCCAAGCAAGGAAGCTGTGGTTGTTGGTCTGCTATGAAAAGTAGGGAAAACTCAAGGCTCTGTCTTTGCTATCTCTCAAACAGTGATAGCACAGATACTTCTCAGACCAGGATACTTCTTAATAATAAGAAGAAATAGCACTAAAAAGATCTTTACAGCTGTAAGGGGCAGAAGGTTCAGTGACAGACCAGTTGCCTGGCATGCACAAGGCTCTGTGTTCTAGTCCAGCATAACAACAAATGAACAAACCCCTCAATACAGAAAATATGACTTAATTTAGCTGTGAGAAGGAAACAAACAGAAAAGAAAGAAAATTTAAAGTCCAAGTAAGATGAGGAATTTAAAAGCCTATCAGCTCTATTCCCCTTCTGTCCTAGTCCCTTATCCGTGGTGCAATCACAGCTCAGGTCCTCTGCTGCTGGCAGCACCCACCTTTAAGATCATGTCCTCTACTATGGAGGCATACGTGTTCTTGTGCAGTGCCACAGGCTGCAGGGTGACTCCGATCTGGAAGAGCAGAAGACAGTCATTTGTTTTCATCTCAGCCTTAGGAAATAAGCCTCTTTCTGAGCGAGCAGACTTGTCTGACAGATACAGGGCTTGGGTGGAAAAAAGGCTCTACAACCACTCTGGACAAAATGTAATCCTGTTTTCACTCCCAAATCTCTATCATGGGACAATGCGGTTGGGATCTGCTAAGGATTCTGAGTACTGGGATCAATACTTTGGAAGGCCTAAAAATCAAGACTCCAGATGCAAGAGTCGAAGAAAACGCACTGGGAAACTGCTTATCTTCCCAGTTCTCACTGCATCCTGCAAGGGAGTCAACATTATTCTTTCACCCTGGGTCCTGAACAGCTGGCAGGAGGTAGATGCTAAAGTGCTGTTGAGTGTCACTAGGGTTTGATAAACAGCTCTCTTCTGAGTAACATGAGGACAATGCACCACATCTAGACCATGGGCAGGCACCTGGAAAGACTACTCACTGAAGTATAACTTGGAAATATTAAGACATGTCTCATGAAGGAGAAGTGCTTCTCCTGAGGCACGTGTCTCTGCATCCAGCTATCTTTGCTTCAAGGCCATGTTCAACAAGCAATCCTCTCATATCTATCACTCTTCTTGCTGAAGGCTCCAGTATGGGACAGTGAGAGCACACTGTCTAAGTTGTAGGCAGAAGGAAATCAGATGTTATGTTACTTAGGTAGGCTGATATCTAGGTTCACTAGGCTGAACATCTGGAGACTTCACAGCTGGTCTGTGATCTGTCAATACCAAAGCCAAGACCTCTTACCTTCTGTGTAAGGTCACCAACAAATTCAGAGCCTACGGTTGGTGGCAGACAGAATTTCATCTCTTCCGGCTTTTCTTCCTGCTCCTTTTTGATGTTTGTCTTCAGTGGCTCAGGAAGGTTGAGGATGTCCACCTCCTCCTCGTTCTCCAGCTCTCTTTTCTGAAACTGCTGCAGCTCTTCCAGCTTCCGGCAGAGGTCATCAGCAGAGGAGAATGATGACAGGCACTCTAAATGAGAGGGATCATTTTATGACAGCTGTGGTGACAGCAGAAAAGGACCCTTGGTCTCTGGAGACCAACAGTCTGAGGAAGGCAAGAGTCTTCTTTCTAGTTCAAGCTCTATGGACCTATCATGAGAACCAGTGCCTGACCGAGCAGAAAAGCAGAGACAGTAATTAAATCCTGTAATTAAATGTGATATACCCGCCCCTAAGAACAAGGAGACATATAATGGCCTCCAGCTGCCTCCCACTCCCTGAGTATGAATGACTAAACAAGTTTTCTTCATTTTTAAAATCTGGAAAATTTAGAAATACACAGTGTGCAACATAAAATCATCCTGACTCAGGCAGGGGGTGTTGTTTAGTTGGTAAAAATGCTTGCTTAACATGCATGAAGCAATAAGTTGAATCCCTAGCACTGTGTCAACTGGGTGTGTTGGCATACACAAGTACTCAGGAGATAGAAAGGCAAGAGGATCAGAAGTTCAAGTTCATTCTTAGCTACACAGTGAGTTTGAGGTCAGCCTGGGTACATGAGATAAGGTCTAGAAAAAAAAGTCACTCATGCTCTTACTGCTCGGATAGAAGTATGGCTGACTGTTAGTACACATTGTACTCATAGCCTTTAATAGGTTAGTGTGCAGTGTCCGGACAGTAAAGTCACCTACTCACGCTTGTACTTTAAGAATGAGGAAGTGAGGTCCAGGCCAGGTACAAGGTGGGCTTCTGCACATGACATGACAGTGGGGCATCTACCTCCTGGCTTCCTGTTTTATTGACTGGGCTCTAGCAGTCAAGCATGTTTTGGTCTGGCACATATAAAGTGCTGTGCTGTATACACGGCACCACAGAAACTTGGAGGTGATTACTGTGGTTTCTGTTCACCAAGAAGCATATATCTGGAAGCTAGACAAGCTTTCTCAGTACTAATATTAAATGCACAGGAGATAAAAAGATCAAATGGCATCAGGAATTCAGAAAGCTTCCTAGAGAAATGAGACTTACCTACTATGCCTGTGCTCCAGGTTCCTTCAGATGGAGAATTCTGTCTCCTATGTAATGTGGTTGAACCCTTCCTATGCTCTAAGGTACACTCAAATGCTGGTTTTTCTCAAGCACCATTAGGCCATGCCCCCTACTCTGTCATTAAACAGAAATTGTCTGTTTCTTCATCATTTTTACCAGTAACACTGTAGTTGTTCATATGTGCATCCAAAACTGCTTGCTTAGAGCCTACCCAGACTTGGAGATACTGTAATACCTTAGATACTGGTCTCATTTCCATGGAAACAGGACAGAGCTATTAGGAATTTCTACGGTCACAAAGAAAGGTAAGTTATTGCTATCTGAAGGAAAGAGAGTAGATTAGGAGTTTTCAAAGACACGTGACACTGAGGAGACTCATGTCAAGATATAAGAATCACGTAAGAATAGTGCATGCTTACCAGATGGCATAAACTAAACATTACTGGCTGGGACATAACATCAAGTGTTAAGCACTTGGGTACAAAGGTTTTGAAAGGACTGTATTATCTGGCATGTCATGGTAAGAAAGGGTCTGATCCCCTAGGGTAGCTACCAACTAAAGGGAAGAGCACTGAGGCCAACTGGGAGCTAGAGAGGCTGAAGGGAGGCAAGTACATTCTACAGGAGGGGCCCGTCAGGCCACCAGGACACTGGGGCAGCCCACTTAGGCATACCTGGCTCGCTGTCGATCTGGGTCAGTACATCCTCAATGGAGTCTCCATCATGCCTCAGGCTCTCAGGGTCTGGTGGGGTGTAGCCATGGCAGCGGCACCAGTGAGCAATGTGCTTGGTTTTTAGGGGAGTCAAGTGATGAAACCTTGGATTCTTCTCCAGGATTTCTTGTAAGACTTTTCGTATTGTCATTGCTCTTTGCCACTTGAAAAAAAATTTTTTTAAACCATAATTGAATTCTTTAAAATTGACAGCTATCTATTGAAATAAATTATGCAATTAAAAACAAGATTTAGTAACAAAAAATAACTTCTTTTAAGGGCCAGCAAAATAGCTCAAGGACAAAGACTCCTGTCACCAAACCTCATAACCTGGTTGGTATCTTGTGTTCCACCTCCAGGACCCTCATGGTGGACGGAGAAAACCAACTCTTGCAAGTTGACATGTGACATGTATATAGTGACACGAGTGAGCATGCACATGCATCCACAGATAGCAAATGAAAAAATGCAATTAAAAAAACTTTTATTTGTAGCAGGAGGCCTCCAAAGATGGCGTGGACTCAGAGCCCTGGGATTCAGCGAGAATTCACTTCACCTCTTGGTCCACAAATAGCCTGTCAAAAGGAGTCTCTGTAACCTGCTCGCGAGCCCAGTGACTGCTGACAGACTGCGTGGTGCGGACCAATCAGAAAACAGTGACCTGACTAAAATGACTTGGGGGCAGAGAAAAGGGAGCTATAAAGCCTGCCCCCTCCTGCATTAAACCAGGCTGCAGCACCTCGCCTAGTGCTTGCTTCTACCTGACTCCTGGGGTCTGTGTGTCATGACTCTGCGCCTCTTGCCCGCCCCCAATTGGCAGGGGATCCGATCTAGGTTAGGGTCTTCACAGCTGGCCTGAGGAGGACCTGCAACACCTGGCACCTGAACAGGGACTCCTGCCCAAGGTGTTGGCAATACCCAGAACCTCGGTTCATTTGGTAAGTAGGCCCCTGGGTTTGTCTGTTTCTTCAGCTGCTAGAGGGTAAGAGAGTAGCCCCCCCTCCTCTGTCCCCTCCACCCTGTCTGTCGTCTTTATTGTTGGACTAGTTTGTTAGATCAGGGAGGCACACTCCGCCACGTTGTCCCGAAGCCCACGTCCCCTCTTGGCTCGTCCTGGTGAGTTCACATAAGGGCTGATCCACCCCGAACTCAGAGCCCAGGCTTCGGGTCACCCTGTTGTCTGTCCTGGAGACACCGTGTGAGCATACGGCTGGAGGTGTCACGGCCTCCAGAAGTCCCTCACTGAGCACAAGACATTTGGATCCGATACACCTTCACATGTTGGGGCGGTTTACATCCGAGTGGCTCACAGTGCTTCTTTGCTTCCTTTGTGCCCTCTTGGTAGTCACCCTCATCTTCTACTTTTGTGGTGAATTTCCCTTCACGAGACCCTCCCACATTGGGCAATTTACCACCACAATGCAGGGAACCACAAACGGGAGCACTCAAGGTGCTCCTTAAAACCAGAGGGTTGAAAGTGAAACCAAAAGATATTGAACACTTTTGGGATGAGGCCACTAATTTGGCTCCATGGGTCTCCCCTGAAAACATGTGGGACCCTGACACGTGGATGCAGGTCCTCTTCCTGGCCTGAAAAAGGGAGGTCGGGTCAGGGATCACTCCCCCCGCATCATTCTTATCGATCCTCCTAGCCATCATTGCTAGCCTTAAATCCCCCTCTCCTGAGGAAGTCATCTCGGCCCACAACAAACACTGCCGGGAGCAATCTAGTGTAGATCTGGCTACTACCTCGACCCCGGACCTCCCAGACCCCCCGGACCTGGAGGTGGATGCCGCGTCTGCGCCCACTTCCAATAAGGAAGGAGCTCCTTTGCCTATTATCTCAGGATGCTCTCCTAGAGCTACCATGCCCAAAAATTCCCCCACCCCATTACCCGTGGAAGGAGTTACTCTCTCCCGGCCTAGTGACCATCCTGCCTGGCCCTTAACATTACAAAATAAAACAGAAACTCCTAGGTTTGCATTAAGGCCTTTTACCTGGTCATGAACTATGATATCCCATCCCTTCTTTCCCAAACAACCAGTGCTGATCTTCCACTGATTCCTAGCACTACCCTGTACAAGCTGCTCCTCTCTGTCTCATAACTCTATTGCATGTGGCAACACTTGTTAGTACGCCATGAAAACCTGAATACAGGGCCAGACATGGTGGTGCAAGCCATTAATCCCAGCACTTGGGAGACAGAGACAGGTGTATCTTTGTGAGTTCCAGGTCAGCTAGGTGGACATAGTGAAACTCTATCTCAAAAAAAAAAGGGGGGGGGCTGGAGAGATGGTTCAGTGGTTAAGAACGCTGGCTGCTCTTGCAGAGGGCTTGATTCCCAGCACCTACATGGCAGCCAACAACTGTCTGTTAACTCCAGTTCCAGGGGAATCCAAAGCCTTCTGACCTCCGAGGGCACTGCATGACATGGGTGCACTTACTCATATGCAGGCGATATACACTCAAACACAAAGAAAAGAAAACAAACAAACAAACAAAAATAAAATAAGCAAAACATAACTAAAAAACTAAAGACCTTGAATTCATTTTGCTATTTTGAAATCCATTTTTTAAAATTAATTAGTTAATTATTTTCGACAGGGTTTCCCTAGCCCCAGCCTGCTTGGAAGTCACTATGTGGACCTGGCAGGCCTCAAACTCACAGAGATCCACTTGCTTCTGCCTCCCGAGGGCTGGGATTAAATTAGGTGCACACCACCACACCCAGTGTGGTGGCGCAGGCCTTTGATCCCAGGCCTTGGGAGGCAGGTCCACATAGTGACTTCCAACCAGGCTGGGGCTAGGGAAACCCTGTCGAAAATAATTAACTAATTAATTTTAAAAAATGGATTTCAAAATAGCAAAATGAATTCAAGGTCTTTAGTTTTTTAGTTATGTTTTGCTTATTTTAGTTCCAGGACAGCTGGGGCTACAGGGAGACCCTGTCTCAAAAAGGCAACAACAACAACAACAAAAAATTAAGTGTATTAGTCACTTTTCTGTTGCTGTGATAGAAACACTGACCAAAACAATTTATAAAAGAGTTTATTTGAGCTTACGGTTCCAGGGGAATTACAGTCCACCTTAGTGGGGAGGCATGGAGAGGAGCCAAAGCTAAGCTCTACATCTTCCAGCAGCACAGGAAACAAGAGAGCAACTGGAGATCCGGCAAGGCTTAAGAACTCTCTGAGCCCACCCCCAGTGACGTGCTTCCTCCAGGATAGCCACACCTTCTAAAACCTCCCAAAACAGCCCCACCATGTGGGGACAAAATGTCCAAATACTTGGAGCTATGGGGGACATTTTCATTCAAACCATCACAGTGAGAGCTGTTTCTATCAGTAAAGGAAAGGAGAAATTCATAACTGAAAAATATTTTACCACTGAATCTTTTTAAAAAAAGTTATTTTAATTTTATGTGTATGAGTGTATTGCACCATGTTGTGCAATGCCCGTGGATGTCAGAAGAGGGCATTGGATCCCCTGGAACTGTAGTTATAGACGGTTGTTAGCCGCCATGTGGGTAGGTCCTTTGTAAGAACAGTCAGTGCTCTTAACCACTGAGCCATCTCTCTAGGTCCACTACCAAATATCCTTAACAGACTATAACTACAAATTTATGGCTTTTCTTTAACCTCTGCTTTCTGACTGGCTTTCAGTGGTGGGCTGCACGAAAAAGGGCAGACATAGCCTTACCTCAGCAGCTCTCCTCTTCCCGATGTTCCAGCCATAATACTGCTCCACAGACTTCGCAGAGAAACAGCTGGCCTCTTCACCTACAACACAGACATACTGAAAACTCTGAAGAAAAGCTGTTTTGGTTTGAACAAAATTTTGTTTGCTAGAGGCAAGTCCCAAATTTATTTCCTTTTTCTCTCCTTTTTATGTATATTAGTGTCTTGCCTGCATGTATTTAAGCGCACCCATTTATGCAAGAGTCACAGACAGTTGTTAACTGCCATGTGGGTGGTGGGAACTAAGTCTGGGTCCTCTGCAAGAGTAGCCAGTGCTCCTAATTGATGAGTCATCTCTCCAGCCCCTAAACTTTATTATTATCATTGTGTATGTGTGATGCCTGACATATGTGTGTGAGGGTGGGTGTATGCCAGAGTGTGCAGGTGGAGGTCAGATGACAACTCTCAGGGTCAGTTCTCTCCCCACCTTGCTGAGGCCTGGTTGCTTCTTTCTGCCGCTCTGTGGATTCCAGATTGGATAGTTTTCTTGTTTCTGCCTCTCATCTTCCTGTCCAGGTGCCCTGGCACTGTAGATAAATGAGCTACTGCAATCTAGCTTTTTACCTACTGAGCCATCTTGCTGGTCCCCAGTTTCCTCAACTGATGTTTATGTTTCTTGCTGAGTAACACACCTTGGTGGTGGATAAAGACAATGTATGGTCGTGAAGCTATGAAATCAAGTACGACAGACTCATAGAGGAGCCCTGCCCTGCCATCAGCTCACTAAGTAGCCTTGGGAAGGCCACAGTATCTCTCTGGGCTTCAGTTTTCTTCACTATAAATCACAAAAGTCTAATATTCTGTATTTTCAATTTTTTTAAAAAAGTATTTATTTTTATTTTATGTGTATGAGTGTTATGCCTACATGTGTATAAGTACACTCAAGTCGTGTAATGCTCCTGGAGGATAGAAGAGGATGTTACTGGAGTTATGGATGGTTGATAGTCGGGGTCTTGTGGGTGCTGGGTCTTCTGCAAGAACAGCCAGTGCTCTTAACTGCTGAGCCATCTCTCTAGCCTCAACATTCTGTATTTTCATGTAAACTGACAGTGAGACTGAGACTCAAGATTCTTGAAATCTTTTCTGGTAAGATGAGACAGTCATACAAAGTACATTCAGAACTACCTCAAAATGATCCCCCAACTTTCCTGAGCTTAAATGAGGAAAAGAGATAGTTTTTTACTTTGGGGCGGGTTGGGGTAGGAGGCTGGCAGTTCTAGAGATTACACCCTGGGCCTTGTAACAATCTAGGCAAGTCCTCTACCACTGAGCAACATCTATAGTCTTCTTTTTATGTCTTTACAATTTTGAGACAGGGTTTGAACCTGAGATTGTTCTTGATCCTCCCTAGCAGCTGGGATCATAAGCTTGAACCACAGGGCCTAGCAATTTCTTTGCTATTATATGTGGAAAAACAAGTAGGGTGGCCTAGTATTTCGTAGCCACATGATGAAAATGGAAGGAAATGGTACCATAACTTCCCTCTAACTCTTGTGGTGACCCTGTCCATGAGCAAACACCCATACTCTCCTCTTAGTGAGGAACATCCATTCTTTTTGAACAACAGGGGATAAGAACTAGGTCATTTACTCTTACTAACAATGGGCAGTGATATGACAGACTTTTGCTTTTGAACCTCTTGACAAATGTACATTTCTACAAAGTGAGTGATCTTGAGTCTGACAGAAAGATTAAGTGTCACATAGAGCTGGGTTCGTACTCAGTCTTGCCACCTGTAGCTTGCTCAATTGCAGCTTTCCCAACTGTGAACTGGAGACTATCAAAAAAGACTCTGGTTAAAGGACCTACAATCAGGTCTGGCATACTAAGTTTTAATTGTATATAACAATTTCTGATTTAGATACAAAAAATGAATATGAAAAGTTCCTTCTGCAGATCAAATAGTGTAAATGACTGAAGACTGAGGGCCCAGATGTAGCTCAGTGGTAAAGAATTTGCTCAGCATGCATAAGGCTCCAGGTTTCGCTGCCACCACCTGCCACTACTTCCTGTCCTCTAATGTCTTAACTGGATGTGACCACATACTATGAATTCCAGGATCCCTGAAAATGAGTATATGTCTAAAATGTCATAACTATCACAATACTCCAAGTAGTTTACAATTAAAAAAAAAAATCTGTGCGCTGAATATAATTATCTTACTTTTTGAAGTAATTAATGGAATCTTCTTTACTACTGCTGTTAAGAGCTGTTGGGTAGTCTCCAAATGGTCGATCCTGAGGGGGATAAAAGACAGTAACTTGCATACACATGGCAGTTTCTGACACCCCCAGGATTCCCCTTTGAAGTTATCCCTTTACTTCCAATCGGAGGCCTCCATTCCTCCTTCTCTCTCACCTTCCCCTCTTTTGTTTCTTGAGACAGGGTCTTATACAGCCTTGGCTGGCCTCAAATTTGCATAGGACCTAAAATTCCTGTTCTTTCTGCCTCTACCACCCAAACACTGGGATTATAGTTGTGTACCACTCTAGAGAGCCTTCTTATTTTTAAATTTTTAGTTTTTAAATTTTTTGGATTTATTTTTATTTAATGTGTCTGAGTGTTTTGCCTGCACATGTATGTGAGCACATCATGTGCATGCAATGCCCTTGGAGGCCAGAGAAGGCAATGGATCCCCTGGAACTGGAGTTATGGTTAGCTGCCATGTGGGTGCTGGGAACCAAGCCAGGGTCCTCTGTAAGAGCAGACAATGCTCTTAACCACTGAGCCATCATCTCTCCGGCCCCTAGATAGACTCTTCATAAAGTAGTCTACATTTAATGTCAAGAATAAACAGATTTTGGCAAATTATGTAACAATCAGACATTTTCTATATATTTGAAAACTAAATAGCAAGATTCTACTTACAAGGTGATTGATATTATACAACTTGCTGTCTTAAGGTTAGTTGACACTAATTATCTGTCATACTTCTATTGTCTTTAGAGGTTCCAGACAGTTTAGAGTGTATGGTCAGAAGAGGTTGATTTGGGAATGAGAAAAGCCAAAGAAGCACTTTCAGAAAAGGCGAGGCGAGTCATGGCAGCACTGGGGCCGCTGGGAAGCTCAGGCAGTGTGGAGAGGCAGGAACACAATGCAAACACCTGAGTGATTCCACACATGAACTCGATCCACAGACACACTCAGCAAGTATGTGTGAGCAATCTCAAGCAAGTTCTGCGGCTTCCATGGCTACAGAGCAAGTGCAGCCCCTAAGTTATATCACTGGCTAAAACAAACTCTTCAGCGCTCAAGGACAGACAGCTCCCCCTCAAGAGGCTAACTACAAACACTCCATACACACTCAGCTGTCACAATCATGATTTCAAAGAAGCATCACAAAGATACCAAAAGCAGAGTTCTTTAAGAAGAAACTGGAATACTTACTTAATGATGTAGTTGCTAAGTTCAGAGCTTTCTTCGGTCTTCACCGCTGTTTGGCCTTCCTGTGAAAGGCAGTTTGGCCCAGGAGTTTCTGGTTCAGTCTTCACTACAAGGGAGGAGAGAGAGAGAGCGAGTGGGCTGTCAGGGTCCATGTGTGAGTGAAACAAAGCTCCTCACTGATGAGGACACAGAAAGGGACGGAGATAGCTCCTGTCATCACAGCATTAGTACACAAGGGACCTGTTTGCTTAGGTCTCAGAAAAGCAACTCCAGGCTCAAGGGGAGAACAATAAAGTGGCTTTTTTTCATATTTCTTAACTGGTCTGTTATCCTCTCTCACATCCTACCCCCCAAGACAGATGTCATGTTGGTTACAACACCAGTGCTAGTTCTACCATCATGTCTATTCTGGTATCCTGGAAAGCCAGCTAAGCTTCCTGACTGCAGGATTGCTCTAGTATTCTGAGACAGAAGGCAAAAAGCAAAAATCATATCTCTTGTGCTTCATTGGAAATTTCTAAGCTAATCACAACAGGCTTTCTTTTAAAAGAATTTTATTATTTTTATGTGTATGAGTGCATTGCCTGGGTATATGTGAGTGCAGCTGTGTCATGCAGTGCCCTCAGATGTCAGAAGAGGGCATTGGATCCCTAGAGTTAGGACAGTTGCTAGCTGCATGTGGATACTGTGAACTGAACCCAGGTCCTCTGCAAGAGCAGCCAGTACTCTTGACCACTGAGCTCTCTCTCCAGCCCCATGTGGCGCTTTCAAAACCACATGTTGAGCACCCTTAATCTGAAATCTGAAGTGCTTCAATATTCAAAACTGTTTGAATGCCAACATGCTGTTGCACATGCAAAATTCCATAGCATAAAATTTCACATACACAAATTATTATTATTTTTGGTATTTTTGAGACAGTCTCACTACAGCCCAGAATGGCCTAGAACTTCTTATGTGGCTCACCTGGCCTGGAACTCATGGTAATCCTCCTGCTTCAGTCTCCCAAGTGCTGGGATTATAGATATATACCACCATGCCTGGCTATTATGCATCCAACGTTATTTAAAAATACTATTTAAAATTACCTTTGGGCTACATGTAAAAGGTATATAAAAAGCATAAATCAATTTCCTGTTTAGAGCCGAATTTCATTCCCAAGATATATATATATATTTTTTTTTCTTTTTGAGACAGCATCTCCCTGTAGCCCCAGTTGGCCTGGAACTCACTATGCAGGCTAGGCTGGCCTTGAACTCACAGAGATCTGCCTGCCTGTGCCTCCCAAGTGCTGGGACTACAAGTATGTGCCACTATGCCTGGCATTTTCCATAGATATATCTTATTATATATATACAAATACTGTATTCCAAAATTCAATTCATCTGAAATTCCAAACATTTCTGTTCCCAAGCACTTTGTACAGGAGAAGTCTTCTTTGATCAAAACACCACACGTATACACTTCTTGCCTCTGCCCAAGATTTCCTACCTTTATTCTCTCTGTCAGTCTGTCTGTCTAATCTGTATGGGTGTGTGTCTGTACGTAGTCTTTTGTGAGCCACCTGACATGGGTGCTGGGAAGCAAACTGAGGTCCTCTGTAAGAGCAGTAAGCACTCTTAACTGCTGAGCTGTCTCTCCAGCCCGATGGTCTATCTTGTACATCAGCACTAATGTTCATTCTCCTCCTCAGTACTGAGTAAATTCTTAAGCAACAGGGATTTTTAAATGAGATATACAAAATCCTTTCTCATCTTAATTGACACGTAACTTGCATTCAGTAAGCATTACATTTGAATTTTTTCCTAGCTATACACCAGTTCCTGTAGCAAACCAACATGCAGTTTGCCTGCCTCAAGCTGGCTCCCTCAGGCTTGCCAGTTCCTCACAGACAAGTCTGAATCTTGGTGGAGTTACATATTTTCTCTGTCATCATTTAGATATTACAAGTAATAATGGAATGACCATTCTTACATGTCTTTTGATAAGATATATTCAATCTCTTCCCAGAAGTAGATTCACTGGAACAGAGGATAGATGGTATTTAACTTTATTAAAAACTGCCAAATGGGGGTTTGGAGAGATGGCTCAGCAGTTAAGAGCACTGGTTGCTCTTATAGAAGACCTGGGTTTAATTCCCAGCACTCACATGGCAGCTAACAACTGTCCACAACTCCAGTTCCAGGGGATCCAACACCCTTTTCTGGCTTCCATGGGCATTGCATGACATAGGGCCCTTTCATACATGTAGGCAATACACTCAGACACACTGAATAAAAATAGAAATTAAAACAAAACTTCCAAGTGGTTTTCAAAGTCCTTGCTTTACCCCCCCCCCTCAGCATATGCAAGCTGCGGTCACTTTACATCCTTGTCAACGTCTGGTACTCTGCAAACTTTTGAATTCTTGGTGAGTTTATTGACTTTTAATTTTTCTTGCAATGTTCATGACTGTTCCTACAAATCTAACATGTAAATTGTGTGTGTGTGTGTGTGTGTGTGTGTGTGTGTATGTGTCATGTGTGTTCAGGTACCAGTGAAGGCCAGAAGAGGGTACTGATCAGATCCCATGGAGTTCCAGAACATTGTGAGCCACCCAATGCTGGGAACCAAATTTGGGTCCTCTGCAGAACAGCAAGTAATTTTAAACACTAAGCCTTCTTTCTAGCCCCTACTACTTAAAAAAAAAAATTCTTTATTTTATATGTGTTTATATGCATGTGGGCATGCTTTGTGCCATGGCCCATGTGTGTAGGTCAAAGAACAAATTTCAGGAGTTAATTCTGTCCTTCTACCATATGGGCCCTGAGGCTCAAACTGAGGCCCTTAGGCTTGGTGGCCATCACATTTACACACTAGCCACCCTGCTGACCCCGCCACCATTTTTTTCTTTTTGGTTCTAGTTTTCCCTTTCTTCATTAACAGATATTTAGTATTTAGTATTTTTTAGATATTTGGTTCCCTTTCCTTTTTCTCTCTCCCTCTTTCTTTTTGGTTTACTGAGAAAAGGTCTTGCTATCTAACCAGGCTGGCCATGAACTTGCTGCAGTCCTCATGCTTCAGCCTTCTGAGTGCAGGGATTACAGAGATAAGCTATCTATCATGCCTGGTGTCTGTATTTTTATTTTATGTGTATGAGTGTTTTGCCTGCATCCATGCAAGGGCACCTGTGTCATACAATGCCCATAGAGGCCAGAAGAGGGCATCAGATCCTCTGGACCTGGCATGCTAGCTGCCATGTGGATGCTGGGAACTGAACCCAGGTCTTTTGTAAAAGCAGTCAGTGTTCTTAAGTACTGAGCCATCTCTCCAGTCCTGTCTTTAAATTTTTAATTGTGGCTATAACAGAAGGTACAATGATTTTTCTATATATACTGACCTATCAAGTGACTGGTAACTTCACTGTCAGCAGTGCGTGTTTCCCTAACTCCTAGGAATTCTGAGACTTCAGGAAAAGGAAGAGATCCTTAGAAAGAGTTCAGGTATTCCAGTTCTACAGGCTAAAGTCTCTTGGATTTGGCATTTGGATAATTATAGACATATATAATCATAGCTTTTTAAATTTCTTGAGCGAGGGTCTCCTATAATCCAGGCTGGCCTTGAACTTGCTATGTAAGATGATCCTGAAGTCCTGGTTCTCCTGCCTCCACCTCACAAATGCTGGGATTGCAGGAATGAGCCATCATGCCTAACAATCAATCACAGCAGTTTTGGATTTATTTATTTTATTTGTACTTGCTTTGTCTGCATGTATGTTACTGTTCCTCATGCAATGCCTGTGGAGGCAGAAGAGGGACTCAAATCCCCTGGTACTGGAGTTACAGATGGTTGTGAGATATAATGTGGGTGCTGGGACAGAACCCAGGTCCTCTGTAAGAGTAGCACGTATTCTTTTCTTAATATATTTATTGTTTTTATTTTATGTGTATGAGTGTACTGTTTGCATGTAGGTAGGTGCATCTGTGTAGTGCAGTGCCGGTGCCCTCAGAGGTCAGAAAGGGGCATCTGATCCCTTGGAACTGGAGTTACAGATGGTTGTCAGCTGCCATGTGGGTGCTGGGAATCAAACCCATGTCCTCTGCAAGAGCAGCCAGTACCTCTAAATGCTGAGCCATCTCTCTAGCCCCAAGAGTAGCAAGTATTCTTAGCTGCTGAGCCATCTTTCCAGCCCCTCAATCACAGTATTTTAAGGTTGGGATAACTCTTCTACAACAGAAATGAAAACATATTCTTTAAAATTTATACATAAAAGCTGCAAAATGGAATTAACTCTAATGTCCCTCAATGGATAAAAAAAAAATTACAATATATTTTTCCAATGTAAAATACTCAGCAACAACACAAAGAAATCTCAAAAGCAATGAACGAAAGCAGATACAAAAGAATGCATATACTTTCTTTTTTATAAATCTAAAAAACAGAAAAAAACCTCTAGTAAGAGAAATTAGAATAGTGGTTATTTATAGGGATTAGGAAATGACTAGAAAGGGTATGATTTATAGAAATTTCCATATCTTGAATGATGTTGTTTACTGTTTACATGGGTCTATACATTTATTAAATCCGCAAATGGTCTGGTTAATTATCTCTGTACTTCACTGATACTTCATTCACTTAAAATCAGGGGGCTGGCAACATGGTTCAGTGGGTAGAAGTACTTGCAACCAAGCCTGATATCCTCAGTTTGATCATCAGGACTCACACAGTAGAAGGAACAAACTGACTCTCATAATTGTCCTGTGACCACCACATGTGTACTGTGGATGTGCCAGTGTGCACACATGTGCTGCTGCACATTCACATGCATACACAAAGACACACAGAGACACATAAAATAAATGTATTCTTTTAAAAAAAACCTTAAGCCGGGCATGATGGTGCACACCTTTAATTCTAGCACTTGGGAGGCAGAGGCAGGTGGATCTCTGTGAGTTCAAGGCCAGCCTGGCCTACACAGTGAGTTACAGGACAGCTGGAGGCTACAGGGAGACTGTCTCAAAAAGACCAAAACAACAACAACAACAACACCCCCCCCAAAACAACAACCTTAAAAACAAACAGATGCTCTGACTTGGTCATTAAACAAATGAGTACCTGTATGGGGCAGAACTGACTAGCTTCTACAAGTCTGGTACAGTGACAGCAATGCCTTCCTAGTTCTCCTCTGCTCAGGGGCTGGCAAATGCTTTCCCCTGCAAGCTAATCCACAAACAGTGGAATCACATGGCCTCTGTAGGAACCAAACTCTGAGGTTGGAAGATAGTATGCAGAAGACTGGGCATGGCTATATGCCAAAAAAGCTTTACAGGCGGTAGTGGTACACAAAAAGAGTGCAGATTTTAGTAAATTCCACTTAGCAAATTACAAATCCACCTCCCAAGGCACTAGTGAGATCCCAGAATGCCTGCAAAGTAGACCAGCATGGTAGAGGAAAGTATATTTCAGATCCCAACCGCACTGCTCCTAGACTTGGGAAGTATCTGTATTTCTAAATGTGCTCCCTCATCTACAAAATGGGTATGTCAGCTACGCTGTATGACTGAAGCAAGAATTATGTATTATCTATTGTGGCCGACACTGGGACCTGATACACCAGGGGCTCTGAACATATGGTGGCTGTCGTTATTTCTAGAGCGGTTATATATGGCAAGTTTACTTGGACCCAATGTACCCCCCCACCTTCTTACAGTCAGGAATGTCCTTCTGTTAGCTTACTGAAGTCTGCTCCCTATCTAAAACACCTTTGCCACCCCTATGCTCTCCAATGTCGTTAAACGGTCTATTTCCCATAAACAAACCCAAGCCTTGTTTCTGCTCGTTTCTACTGTTTTTTGTTTTTAAATCTGGCACAACTCTTGATCTCTCTACAGTTACATGGATTCAGTCTTTGAAAGTCTAGTTTATACATGGTCCATACAAAATTCTGTCCCTGCTAACCCTGATATTTTATACCTCTGTTTTTATGCCTTAGTCTACTAAAATAAATGGTCAGCTTGTATTTGCTAAGTAGCTGATTCACAGATGCTGAAAAGCCAACGGATTTAGATTATAGCATGTCCTGCATGAAACTTTGGGGCGGAATACTGTGAGGTATTCCCACCTACCTTTTGCAATAGCTACTGGAGTAGAGCTGGAGGCAGCTGGAGTCGGGACAGCTATGGGCAGGATGGTAGGTGATTTGTTGGCAGAAAATGACTGAACCACTGAAAGGCAAAACAGCAGGGAGACATAACAATAAAAGAAATTAGTTTTTCTTTATTAATTTATTCTTTGACAATTTCATACATGAACATATTCTGGTCACATCCCGACAGCTTCTCCTAGTCCCCTTCCATCTCCACCCCTTCTTTCTCCTAATAAGTCCCCCTCCCACTATCATGGTCTTTTTATTATTTTGAGACCTACCGAGTTTCACCTGAGCTGCCCCTGTGGGCATTGGTATGGAGCTATGTAGAGGAGCACTGGCATCTCACCGGTAATTAAACCACTCCCCTTCCCCAGAAGCCATCACTGCCAATAGTTCTGAGGAGGGGAAGGGCTGGGCCCCACGAACCCCTCTTCCATCCATGACTGAATGTTGACACCCTGCGCAGGCAACCATAGGGGCTGTGAGTTTGTGAGTTTAATAGCCCTGTCATGCCCAGAAGGCAGTGTTTCACTGCCTTCTTCCCCATCATCCAGCCCTTGTTGTCTGCCTCCCTCTTCTACAGAGACAGAAATTATTTTTAAGAAGAATGATCTAATTCCCATGTGAGAGCCTCATTTTCAACTAATACCACAATCATAGCACAACAGAAATGGTAAGGCCCTTCTTTTCATGTAAGATGGGCCACATGTTAGTATCAGGGAAAGTGAGCTACATCAACAATGGACACGGGGGCTCGTCAGTAAGCTAAAAAAAAATCAAATAAACCTCAACTCTCACAAATGTTCAAAATGTTCCTTCTTGACTTATGGACAGTCTAGTGGGTAAAGATATCTGCCACCAAACCTGATGCTCTGAGTTCAATCCCCAGGACTCAGATGGTGGAAAGAAGATGCTAAATGGCAGGCTGTTCCAGGCAAAGAGACACCACCAACTGGTACAATATGGATTTTCCCAAGATGTAGCTGTGTCAGGCCCACGGTAGAAGACATACCTTTATTCACAGGCATCAGGATCGTCTGCACACTGCCAGAGGTGTTCACACTTAGTGGTTTGAGCTGGCTGGGAATTGTCAGGACAGCCTGCTGGGGACTGGACTGACTGGAATGAATCTTCAACAGTCCTAAAATAAGTTGGAAGATAAGGCCGAGCTAAAGATCAGGTGCTCCCTCAGGCTCCCTGCCCTCTCTGCCACTCTTGTTTTCTCTCAAGGGTGTTTCCAGGACAGTCACCCTTTAGTAACTAAGCTAGAAGCAGGAGGCAATGCATGATGCAGAACTCACAATGAAACTCCGATGTGGTATAACTTGTTTTTCAAGTGTCCTTGCACCCAATCAGAAAGATAGAAAATTTTGCAAACAGAGAACAGGAAAGTGCAGAGGATGTAAGAAGTGCCACTCAACAAGCAGTATCTGCTTACTGAGATATGCCCTTTGGGAGAAAAACAATGACCTGGTGTTTTGTAGTTTGAAGCTTGTTTTTATCAAAATGTTATGTGCTGAGAGCCAAAAAGTAAAAACAGGACAAAGAAGCTTCTAAGTGAAAACCGTAACCCCAGCAGTAACCTAGTGCTCTTCAGCACAACTCCTGTATTGATTAGATCAGCAATTCCTTTTGTTTTTCAATTACTAGAAAGAATGTGTATGTGGAGGCCTTAATCCTAACCTCTTCTTGTAGCCTACTCCAGGAAGGCAAGTCTTGAGGCACTTTCATTTTCTCTTTCCTACATTCCCATGTTGTTCTTTGTGATCAAAGAAATGAACTTAATTTTTTCTTTGAACCCCTCCCCCGCAAACAGTTTCCTAAGTCTGCCCACTTTGTTCAAGGCACCTCTGGAAACAACTTTTCCCACCTCAACCCATTAAGCAGTTTCTAACTGATCCCAGAACTCTGAGCAGCCAGCAGCCCAGCATTTTCGGGGAATGCCAGGCCACTTCACTATCCCTCGGTATCTTCCCGTGTTTTCCTCTTAGCTTACACTTGCTTATTCTGGTAAAGCGGATACTTTAATAATGTCTCTGGACATGGCAGGCAGGAAATGTGCCAGAAACTGCCTATCAGAGAAGAATACTACCTTCACTCATAATAATCATCTTTTGACTAGCGAATTCTAGACTAAACTTGACACAATGGCCAGACAGTACTATACACATTTTAATTTTCCCCTGGAACTTGAAAAGCAATGAGAAGTTTAATGATTATGCAATGAAATTTCTTAAAAATTCAATGTACTTTCTCTAAAAGAAAATCTTTTTATTCCTGGCATTTGATTTCCTGAAGACTGCACCTGGCTGTGGGCCAGCTTTCCTCTACTGCACAGGACACCATGCCTCACCACCTGGGAACTTGCACCCTTTGACTCCAGAAGAATCTTGTTTCGTTTGTGGATCACTTTCTTCTCACTGTTGTCTTTCTTTTTTGTCCTCCTGTTTTTTGAGGCAGATTCTTGTATGTAACCTCACCCTGCCCACTACCCCTGGGAGGTTACACAGCATGAACAACCATGTGGCCAGCATCCTACACTACTTTCTTTCCGGAGCTCCTTTAATAAAAGTGTGGCTAGAGCTCCTTGACGGCTCATAGGGTATCCACTTTTGGGTCTGTTTCCACTTATGCCTCTAGTCTAGTTTCAGGGCCTCACTGAGTCTTTTAGAAGGTAAAGCAGGGGGGCTGGAGAGATGGCTTAGTGATTAAGAACACTGGTTGTTCTTGCAGAAGACCCAGGTTTGAATCCCAGCACCCACATGGCAGCCAACAACTGTCCATAACTCCAGTTCCAGGGGAAATGACACCTTCTGTCCTCCGTGGGGATTGCACAGCATGGGTGCACTTACCTACATGCAGGGAATACACACATACACATAAAATAAAAATAATAAAATTAAGAAAAAAGAAGGTAAAGCAGGTCATTGCTTTCACTTGAAACACACTTCTTGGCTCTGCTGTGGTCACTGGTGAAGTTCTTACAGTCACCTATGAGGCCTCATGCACTCTCCTTCATCTGGTTCATCTGGTACTCTCCCTTGCTGGCTCCATTTCAGCCCCATTGGTGACATAATTTAACATAGCTCGTAATGTACATAGAAAGTTAAAAAAAAATTGCTGTTTATCTGTGGGAAACAGCTTGGCTGTTTTCATAAAAAAGTCAGAAAGTTTATCAGCAGCATCTTAGGAAATGAAAACATAAGCAGGAAGACTTTATTCACAACATGCTAAAAATGTAATCAGAAAAGGGGCAGGAAAGGGTACTCATCGCTTCTAAATGTTATTCCTTGTACTTTCTTAAAAATTTTTATTTATTAGTTTTATTTTGTGTGTATGTGTATACTGCCTGCACCCGTGTCATGCAATGCTCTTGGAGGACAGAAGAGGCCGTTGGCTCTCCTGGAACTGGAGTTATGGACAGTTGTTAGCTGCCATGTAGGTGCTGGGATATGAACCTAGTTCTTCTGCAAGAACAGCCAGTGTTCTTAACCGGTGAGCCATCTCTCCAGCCCAACATGTTAAGTTTCAGTGTGGACTCATATTCAACCATCTCTCTTTTTTTTTTAATGGCACAGATCTTTTTATTACTCTTGAAACATTGCCAAATTGCTTTCAGAATGGATTGTAATTATTTACAATATTACCAGTTGTTGGCCAGTTTACACTCAACCATCTCATTTTTTGAGGCTGGGATTTTTTTTTTTTTTTTTGGTGTTTCTGAGACAGGGTCTTCCCTGTAATCCCAGCTGGCCTGCAACTTACAGATCTGCCTGCTTGTGCCTCCCAAGTGCTGAGATTAAAGGTGTGTGCCTGGCTTATTCCTTGTATTTTTAAAATTCTGTTTATTATTTTTATTTTATGTGTATTGCCTGCATGTATGTTATGTGTATCCGTGTTGTGCAATGCCCATGGAGGTCACAAGAAAGTGTTGGATTCCCCTGGAACTGGACTTAATAGATGGTGGTTAGTTGCCATGTGGATGCTGGGAATTGAGCCCAGATTCTCTGTAAAAGCAGTCAGTGATTTTAACTGAAGCGCCATCTATCTCTCCTTCTATTCCTTACGCAAACAGCAGGTAAACACAGAGACTGAGTTTGGAGCCATTTATTTTTAAAAATATTTTATTTATTATTTTTATTTTATGTGTATGCTTGTATTGCCTGCATGTAGGTAAGTGCACCTGTGTCGTGCAAAGCCCAAGGAGGACAGAATAAGCTGTTGGATCTCCCAGAACTGGGGTTACAGACATGTGGGTGCCATGTGGGTGCTGGGATTCAAACCCGGGTCTTCTGCAAGAACAGCCAGTGTTCTTAACTGCTGAGCCATCTCTCCAGCCCCCAGTTTGGAACCATTTAAAGAATACAGATATAATACAATAGCATCCATGAATGTCTTATCCAAAGGCAGTTAAGGTCTGGGTGCACAAGTCTGCACATGCACCAGTGTGTTTCACTGTAGATCAGTGTTTTCTGTAGATCAATGCCAGCAAGTAAACTGGTTATTATCAATCTACAAAAAGATAATACAAGATGTGCAAGGTGGTGCATGCCTTTAATCCCAGTACCGGGGAGGGAGAGGCAGGTGGATCTCTGTGAGTTCTGTTCTACATCGTGGAGTTCCAGGCCAGCTAGGGCTACATAGGGAGACCTTGTCTTAAAACCAAACCAAACCAAACGGGCTAAAGAGATGGCTGAGTGGTTAAGAGCACTGGCTGCTCTTACAGAGGACCCAGGGTCAATTCCCAGCACCCACATGGTGGCTAACAACCACCCAGAACTCTAGTTCCAGGGGATCTGAGGGCATTGTACAACACATACACACTTACACACATGTAGGCAATACACTCATATACATAAAGTAAAAAATAATAAAACAAAAACAAAAAAGATGCCATCCATTACGGAGGGGTTTAGAAGAGTGACATTTTAGTTGTACCAGAAAAGAATCCCTACAAGCTACCCCAGAACAACAACAAAAAACAAAAACAACAAAACAGACAAAAAAGAAACTGACTTTTTTGTTGTTTCTTTTTTTGGAGACAGTCTCAAGTAGTCCTGGATGTCCTCACTATGTATCTGAGGAAGACCTTGAAATGCTGATCCTCCTGCCTCTACCTCCCAAGAGCTGGGGTTACACGTGTGTGCCACCATGCCCAGCCAAACTAATCTGTCAAGTTTGAGAAGCAAAGCTGACATCAGCATCCAGCACCTGAGACAGAACTTTATAATCAAACTCATTAATATTCCTGTGGCAAAACATGCACTAATTTAGTATCAACAGGCAGTCAACAGGGGTGAAGCTTTGCCAGTATCGATTCACTTAATCTTCTCAACTTTCTGAGATAAGTACTATGACCTTGAAAGCAAAGAAATGTGTAACATGTACTATAATAATTCTATTCAAAATTGGTCACTAATAAAGAAAAAATGGGTTCTTAAAGAGCAAACTGTTAGCTATTCACATAATTACAAAAAAACCCAAAAAACAAAAAAACCCCAAAACAAAACAAAAACAAAAACAAACCAAAAAACCAAACACATCAGGAAAACAGCTACATATTCAATAGGGTTCCAGATAGCAAAAGACTTGTTTATTTTTTTGAGTCATGGTCTTACTGTGTAGATCTAGCTTGTCTAGAACTCACTATGTAGACCAGGCTGGCTTTGACTTGAACTCACAGAGACTATCTCCCTTTGTCCCAATGGTGAGCTTCCCAAGGTGTGTGCCTTCATGTCTGGCTAAAAATTTATTCCATCATTAAAAATGGAATTATTTTTAAATGATAAAGGTTAAGGCCCAGACTTAAAGATTTATACCTGCAGATTTTAAGATCAGAATAATTTATCTAAAAAGTAGCTGCTTAATTAGTGAGATGGCTCAAGGGTGCTTCCCACCAAGCCTAACAACCTTCATTCAACTTTTAAGACCCACAGGGTAGAAGGTCTCAGAGAAATGATTCCTTAAAGTTGTCCTCTGACCTCTACATACATGCATGTATGTGCAAGGACACTTGAGGAGTCTCTCTTTCTCCCTCTCCCTCTCTAAACAAATAGGGCAGAAGAAATAGCTCAGTGGTTAAGAGCACTGGCTGTTTTTACAGAGGACTCAGGTTCAGTTACCAGCACCCACATGGAGGCTAACAATCAGCCATAACTCCAGTTCTGAGGGATCTGGCATCTTCTTCTGGTCTCTGTGCACACTGCAAGCACATGGTATACATGCAGGCAAAATGCTCAATACACATAAAAATAAATAATAAAAGAAGCACAATTTTTAAAAGGTAGCTATTTGAAAATATTTCTGGGTTACTTAATTATATAAAGTATAACACATTCTGGTCTAATGAGAGAAACAGAGAACAAATGTCACAGTACTGACCTGATACTGTGGCTTTTCCTGAGATGGAGTTCGGTGTGGACACCAGGGACGATGTGCTGACGACAGCAGGAGCTGTAACTTTGCAGATCCCCATGGTAGCCTGGCTGACACACACTTGTGGCTGCCCAGTAGTTTTCATTATAGAACCAATAGAAGATGAAACAGCGGCTGTTCCTTCTGACTGCTCAGCCATGCGGACAGAATGAAGTGAGAGGACAGCAGTGCAAGTTACTTAGACTAGTGGCTACCACCTAGCACACTTACTAAAATACCAACACTAGAGAGTACTAGCCACTAAATACTATGCTATTTAAAAAAAATGTGTATTACATTTTTTGTTATATACAAGTGTATGTGTGTGTGTGTGTGTGTGTGTGTGTGTGTGTGTGTTTAACATGTATGTGCATTTGTGCCATGGTGCTTGTGTGGAGGCCAACTTGCAACATGCAGGAGTTGGTTCTCTTCTAGACCATGTGTGTCCTGGGGATTGAACTCAGGTTGTCAAGCTTGGGGGTAAGTGCCTTTACCTGACAGCCATTAAAGGATAGTTTCTTGGGACTAGGGATGTAGCTTACTTGGCAGAATGCTTGCCTATCCTGCATAAAACCCTGGGTTTGATTCCCAGTGTGAAATAAACTGGGTGTGGCAGCACATGCCTGAATCTCAGCACTTGGAAGGTAGTCAGGGGGATCAGAACTTCATGATCAGCTGAGCGTGGTGGTGAATGCCTTTAATCCCAGCACTCAGGAGGCAAGGTTAGGCAGATCTCTGTGAGATAGAGGCGAGCTGGGGTTAAAGGGAGACTCTGTCTCACCCCCCCCCAATAAAAAAGTTCAAGGTCATTCTCAGTTATATAGCTAGTTTGAGGCCAGCCTGGGCTACACGAGATCTTGCTTCAAAAATAAAATAGGGCTAGAGAGATGGCTCAGTGACATGCTTGCCATGAGCATGAGGGCCCGAATTTGTACTCCTAGCACCCACATTAAAAAAAAGCAAAGCATGGCGGTGTGTGCCTGTAATTCCAACACCAAAGTGCTCTCTTGACCAGCCAGTTCAGCCAAACTGTGAGCTCCAAATTCTGTGTGAGATACTTTCTCAAGAAAATAAGGTGGAGGCCTGTGGCCAGTGGGTATGGTCTCAGGGTGACACTCTATTGGCTGCTGGAAGCTGCAACAGCCTGTGCTTCTGTGCTCCAGGCTACAAGGTGGTGTGCGAGGCGGTCAGGGGCAGTACGGCTAGGCTGCAGATGTCATGTGGCCTGTGCTTTGGATCATGGTGTGGACCTATGCTCCCTATGTCATCTTTCCTGTGGCCTTTGTGGTGGAAGCTGTGGGTTCCCACTTGGAATGGTTCATTAGGGGAAAATATCCATGGCCTATAGAGGAAGAAAGGAGCATCCCAGAGCACCTTGAGGATGCAAGCTGAAGGAGCTGCTAGGCAAAGACCACACTGGTGGTGAGCCTTAAGGACAAGCTGGAATTTTCCCCAAAAGCAGTCCTGAACAGAAACCATCAGGATTAGGATTAATGGAGGATCCAGGTTCCTGTGGTCCACAGGACCATGATCTTTCCTGCTACCATGTCGACCCAGCCCCAGAACATACATCTGATTTGCTTTCCTGCTTGCTCAGGCACCTCCTGCTCCCCATTATCTACACATATACTGACTGCTCCTTTACAGCTGAGTTGGCAGACACAGCAGCAGCTGAGGGGCCATCAAAGAGGAAGACTGTGTCCAGGACTGTGCAGGCTTCTGAGCTTACGTGGGGGCATTGTAGGGAGGAGCACTGTGAAATAAGCATTGGCTCTTAGGCTCCCTAGGGAGGGGCACATTCATGTCCAGTTCCAGTCTGCTCTAGGAACAATTCAGAACCCCGCCTGGCTCCCTGGGCTAGTTTGCCCTATTGTAAGTGCTCATTCTTCCCTTTATCAGCTCAGGAGTTTCCAGGGAGAAGGAAAGTGTGCTTATGTTGTGGAGAGCTCAGGCTGTTCACCTTAGGACAGGAGGGGCAAATGCCTGGTGAATTTGCCTGGAAATAATCACCATGTTTCATTCCTCCTCACTGTATAGTGAAAACCTCAAAGTGACATCTGAGAATGTTAAAAAAAAAAAAAAGGAAAACAAGATGGAAGGGCTGGAGAGATTGTCAGCAGCTAAGAGCATTTATTCCTGTAGAGGGACAGGTCTCGGCAGTGACATGGTAGCTCACACCCATCTGTGACTCCAGTTTAGGGAAATCTGCCACCCTGGCCTCGGTGAGCACCAGGCACACATGTGGGTGAGGTACATGCTGACAAAACTTATACATATTTTAAAAAAAATCTTAAAACGGGCTAGAGAGATGGCTCAGCGGTTAAGAAAACTGGCTGAGGACCCAGGTTTGAATCCCAGCACCCACATGGCAGCTAACAACTGTCCGTAAGTCCAATTCCAGGGGTTCCAGGGGTTCCAACAGACGGGTGCACTTACGTACATGCAGGCAATACATGCATACACATAAAATAAAAATAATAAAATATTACACATAAAATAAATATTAAAAAAAATCTTACACCACATTGTGGGGCTAGAGAGATGGCTCAGCAGTTAAGAGCACTGGCTGCTCTTGCACAGGACTCAGGTTCAATTCCCATCACCCACATGGCAGCTAACAACTGTCTGTAACTCCAGTTCCAAGGGAATCCAACACCCTCTTCTGACTCTGCAGGCATTGCATGACATGGGTACACTTACACAGGTAAAACACTCATACACATAAAATAAAAATAATATTCTTAAAAATTGTATTAAAAAAAGGTCAACAACAATTAAGTAAGACACCTAACTACAACCTCTCACCACTACATACTTGCATTCATGTGAGCACATATATAAATAGAATGGTTTCTCTACCAGTTCCTTGTTTTTGCATTTCATAGATCAGGAAAATGAGTTTTATAGTTATCCAATTTAAAAAAAGGCTTGACACGTATTCTATAACTACCTTTTTAATTAAAAAATATTTATTTACTGCTTGTGTTTGTGTGTGTGTGGCGGGGGGATGTGTGTCATGGTGTGCATGCAGAAGTGAGAAGACAATATTGTGGAGTTGGTTCTCTCCTATCTTTTACTTGGATTCTGGGGATCAAACTCAGGTCTCCAGGCTTGTGTAGCAACTGTTTTAACCTGCTAAACCATCTTGGGGGCTCTATATAACTTTCTAAAAGAGTATTTAATACCAAAAAGCAAGACATATTTCCAGAATGGTTGAATAGAATAAAATGAGCTTATTAAAAACTCAGTACAAGGGGCTGAAGAATGGCTCAGCGGTTAAGAATACTGACTGTTCTTGCAGAAGACCCGGGTTTGAATCCCAGCACCCACATGGCAGCTAACAACTGTCTGTAACTCCAGTTCTAGGGACTCCAACAGCCTCTTCTGTCCTCTGTGGGCATTGCACAACAGGGGTACACTTACCTACATGCAGGCATAACACTCATACACATAAAATAAAAATAAATGAAATATAAAAACAAAACAAAACAAAAGCTCAGTACAAGCTGGGTGTAGTGGCACATGCCTTTAATCCCAGGCACTTGGGAGGCAGAGGAAGATGGATCTCTGTGAGTTGAGGCCAGCCTGGTCTACATAGTGAATTCTAGGCCAGCCGGGGTTACAGGGAGACCATGTCTCAAAAAGACCAAACAAACAAACAAACACCTTAGTAAAAATTTAAAAGTGCAACTGAGAGGGAATATCATGCTGCTGCCCGGAGATACAAAAGGGAGGGTTACTGCAGAAAGTGTCAGCTAAAACAACTGTACATCACAGGACTCCTCAAGATTCACAACAGAGACAGTATTTCATAGTACAAGTGAGCATGCAGAAAGCCAGAGAGGCACCAGTGAACATGTATGTAAGAGCTGCAAAGGGGAATAGTATGACAGTGACCAGGCACACACGAAGCAGCTGCTACAGGCCAGATGAGAAATCACACAGAGCAGAGGGAAACAGGTCTTTCCAATAAATGTTGCTGGACCAATTGGATATTTACTCATAAAAGAATGAAGTTTGTTGGCTCCTGAAACCTCACACCACAGTCAATTCAAATTTCAAATTCAAAGACCTAAATTTAAGAGAAGAAAACAGGCATAATTTTTTTGAACTTGGATTAGCAATGATTTCTTAGGTATGACATCAAATAAGCAACAAAAGAAAAATAGGTAAATAGGACTCTACTAAAATTAATATTGTTTGTGATTCAAAGGATAGCATCAAGAAAATGTGGGCTGGTGAGATGGCTCAGTGGGAAAAGGTGCTTGCCATGCAAGCCTGGTGACCCGAGTTCAAACCCCAGAACCCACATAAAGGTGGATAGAGACAGCAGGGCGTGGTGGCCCACGCCTTTAATCTGAGCACTTGAAAGGCACTGG